TTGACCCTTGCCTGGACTGGATTACGTGTACGGATTACCCAATAAACATACTGCTACTGGATCTACTGTTTCCCTGTGTGTGCGTCGTGACAGAAGGACTCCGTCACACCTAGATCCAGCGGTATGTCTTCAAAGTTCTCTTCCCCAGCCACTGAGCGGGAGAGGAGAGATTATTTTGAAGGAACCCGCCTAGTCATCTTTCGTGGGACCCGGGGAGGTCACAGAGGAGGAGGAGGTGGTAGAGAAGTTCAACACCACTCTCCACCCTGGCCCTCCTTTGACCCTGGGCCAGTGAGGGACAGCACAGAGCCAACATCTCGCCGTCGCGGACGGAAAAGGGGGAAAGAATTCACGTCTGCCCAGCCAGAGACTGTTCACGTCACGTCTGCCCAGTCAGAGACTGTTCACGTTCCGTCTGCCTTCATGGACCTGGACTATCTGGAGCGTCTGTCTCGGATCCTGGACATGCCCGTGTCTGCTGTTCCAGAGCCGGAGCCAGTGTCTCCTGTTCCGGAGCCGGAGCCAGTGTCTGCTGTTCCAGGGCCGGAGGCAGAGCCAGTGTCCGTTCCAGAGCCGGCGGCAGAGCCAGTGTCCGTTCCAGAGCCGGCGGCAGAGCCAGTGTCCGTTCCAGAGCCGGCGGCAGAGCCAGTGTCCGTTCCAGAGCCGGCGGCAGAGCCAGTGTCCGTTCCAGAGCCGGCGGCAGAGCCAGTGTCCGTTCCAGAGCCGGCGGCAGAGCCAGTGTCTGTTCCTGAGCCGGTGCCCGTGTCTGTTCCTGAGCCGGTGCCCGTGTCTGTTCCTGAGCCGGTGCCCGTGTCTGTTCCTGAGCCGGTGCCCGTGTCTGTTCCTGAGCCGGTGCCCGTGTCTGTTCCTGAGCCGGTGCCCGTGTCTGTTCCTGAGCCGGTGCCCGTGTCTGTTCCTGAGCCGGTGCCCGTGTCTGTTCCTGAGCCGGTGCACGTGTCTGTTCCTGAGCCTGTGCCCGTTGCTGTTCCTGAGCCGGGGTCGCCCGAAGGGTCCTCTCCGCCGTGGCCGCCCGAAGGGTCTGCTTCGCCCTGGCCGCCCGAGGATAAGTCTCCACCCTGGCCGCCAGATGGACTGTCGTCTCCGCCCGAGGGGAGGTCTCCGCCCTGGCCGTCTTCACAGCCTGCTCCGCCCTGGCCGCCCGAGGGAAAGTCTCCGCCCTGGCCGCCCGAGGGAAAGTCTCCGCCCTGGCCGCCCGAGGGAAAGTCTCCGCCCTGGCCACTCGAGGGACTGTCGTCTCCGCCCTGGCCGCCAGATGAACTGTCACTCCCTGTCCCCGTTTCCCTCCATGGACCTGGCCCCCCATCCCTCCCCCTGATCCTCCACCAGTCCACCTCCCGCCTGGAACCTTGTTTGTCTGTCACGTCTTGGAGCGTCTGGTAGCCGCTCCGTAGAGGGGGGGGTTATGTCACAGTGTCTGGTTTATGTTCCTTGGGTCACCACTAGATGTCCTCCTTCCCCACGGTGTCCATCACACTCTTGAACTACATCCCCCATGATCCTTGTCTTTTCATTGCACTCAGCTGTCTCTCATCACTGATCATTGTACTCAGCCATTTCCACATTATCATTAACAATTCCCTGTGTATATAACCCTGTCTGTTTCAGTGTGTGTCATGGAGTCCTTGCATTTATGTCCCCACACTTCTGAGGTTTGTTCTGCTCGTTTCTCGTTCTTGTTGTTTTGTTCTTTGATTGCTTATACAGTGTTTGACCCTTGCCTGGACTGGATTACGTGTACGGATTACCCAATAAACATACTGCTACTGGATCTACTGTTTCCCTGTGTGTGCGTCGTGACAGACATATTCAGGAAAGGGATAAAGATGTGGTAGAACTTAATCCAGAAAAGTTGGAACTGTTCATTGCATATGTGATTAATTGTTCTGAACAAGTGAAAACAAACACTGGAAAAATAAAGATAATACTATAATAAAGTACTATGGGCAGTGAGCATTATCCTGTAATAATTCATACAGAGATGGAGTTGATTGTAGAAAAGGTAATGAGGGAAGGAAGATGGAAATTGGATGAAGCTGACTGGGAAAATTTAGAGAAATCAGTGAGAGCAGGTTAAAGTGGGTTAGAAATTATCAAAATGTTGAGGAATTAAGTATAGAGATAACAAGTAATATTATAATACAGGCAGCAACAGAGGCTATTCCAAAATGCAAATCTCGTAAGTTAAATAAAATTGTACTATGGTGGACAAAGTAGTGTGGTGAGGCAATAAGGAAAAGAAATAGGATTTTTAAAGATCTGAAACCGACACATCATTTTCAAAATCACAGGCAATAGTGAGGCAGAGAGTTAAGAGAAGTAAAACAGAATATTGGAAAAGATTCTGCGACTCAATTTGGAGGACAACAACACCTGTGGAGAAAGTCTGGAGAATGAGAGGATGTGGGAAAGAATATGGTTACCCAGCAATGAAGGAAGGCCAAAATATTGTTACTAGTAGTGAAGATAAACCGTAACTAATAGCAAAGACACTAGTGAAAGTACATAGTTCTGAAAACCTTAATCGAGAGGAAAGAAGAGGAAGGGAAGTCACTAGTGTAAGATATAGGAGTATCATTCAAGAAGAGGGTGAGGATGGTAATATAATATGTATTTTATTTACAATAGATGAGCTTAAGAACGCTATAAGGAAATTGGGTAAGTCAACTCCAGGAAGGGATAATATATGCTGTGTCATGTTGAAAGATATGGCAAGAAGGAACTATTCCAAGAAGTTAGAAAGAATCTATTATCATTCCTATAAGGAAACCAGGGAAAGATCCAACACTACCTGAAAATTATAGACCAATTGATCGTTCGCAAAGACCCGCCCCCTTTAGTTACTGTTGCTATGTCTGACAAGCCACGCCTCTCTCACGACACATCATGTTCTCACGCGGTGAAAAATACATTGTGGAGCAGAGAGGACACTGACAACACACTGACACAGGACAGGCCAGCTTGTGACAGTCGTCAATGATTTGTGTTTTCCTATTCCGTACTGGGGATGGCGCTATTGAGCGTATATTAGGGAAACCAGGTGGGAAGTTATTTAAAGTAACACCAGGAAACTTTTGCTCTCGGGGTCCCCCTACAGTTGGGAAACAGTATTGTCCTCTAGACCTCTACTACTGTCGTAAACTCTGTCATCCTACATGCACGTGCAATTGTTGACAACCAGGATAGCCCTGAACACTGTAGGAGGAGGTCACATGCAGGTGTTCTGCTTGCGTCGCGTGTGAAATGTCTTCATCCCAGGTACAGTGGCATATATTTCAGCATGTCATATGAATATAATTTCATGGGTTTTATTTTCTTCTAACGACAAATGATCGCGATGCTCACGTTTACAAGCCAGCGTCATTATAGTAGCCTAGTCTATTGGTTACCGTTTTACTGAATCTATGTGATACTTCAATGCAATGTTTGAGTGGTTGATAATAACCATATATCGTCAAAATTATAATATCAAGCTACCATAAATGAATCTGCAAATTTTACAAATCGATTTGCATTATAGCTTGAGGCAAGACAAATAAACAAATATCACAGACATGTTAGGTATCCTAAAATATGATTTTGTACATCTTATATATTTACTTGCAAGAATGTAGCCCCTACCAAACTTGTGCACGCCGTTTAGACACAGGCTTTCATTTTATTTTTATTTTTTTTTGCCAAGTCCGCATCGGTCGGGCACCCCTCCTCCTCCTCCAACTCACGCCAGCGAGAAAATGCTGATCCTCGTTCGGTAAAACGGTAACCAATAGACTAGGCTACTATAATGACGCTGGCTTGTAAACGTGAGCATCGCGATCATTTGTCGTTAGAAAAAAAATAAAACCCATGAAATTATATTCATATGACATGCTGAAATATATGCCACTGTACCTGGGATGAAGACATTTCACACGCGACGCAAGCAGAACACCTGCATGTGACCTCCTCCTACAGTGTTCAGGGCTATCATGGTTGTCAACAATTGCACGTGCATGTAGGATGACAGAGTTTACGACAGTAGTAGAGGACAATACTGTTTCCCAACTGTAGGGGGACCCCACCCCGAGAGCAAAAGTTCCCTGGTGTTACTTTAACTACAGTACACTCCGTTTTTCAAGTTCAAATCCTCCAACGTTAATCTACTGACTCTCCTGAATGCTTTGTCGGACAAAAATTGCGGATTCGTCGGATGGCAATGGATTATGATTGGTCGGATCGCCTGTCAATCAAACTCCCTGCGAATGGTCAATTGCCCTGACCTCTCAGATGGGGAAAACAATGGAAAGAATGGTCAATGATAGGATGGTATATTATCTGGAAATCAGAGGTTTGATAAAAAATGATCAGAGTGGGTTTAGAAGAGGAAAGGGAACAATGGATCCTATGGTGTGTTTGGAGTGACATAAGGAGGGCGCAGACAAATAAAGAAACATTACAGGTTATATTTTCTTATATAGAAAAGACCTACGACATGCTGTGGAAGAAAGGAGTGCTTATCAAGTTGAAACTAGTGGGTATAAAAGGAAGAGTTTTTATTATTATAATAATAATTATAAAAAAAGAAAACTCTTGAATCTCAGACTAAAAAAAACTTCATTGATAAAGGCAAGCAAATCCAAATGACAGATGAACAGCAGTAGTAAAGTGAAATCTGTGTCTTTGGGAGAAGTGTGTGTGTTTAGTCGTAAAAGAGCTTCAGTATTAGAGACGTCTGATCTGAAGAATAATAACAACACAAGACGTGAGACTTTAAGTGTGATTGGAAGACTTTGTTGAAAGTCCCCAATCAAATATGAATGAATAGATTGTAAAAAAAAATATATAAAAAAAAATCAGTATTTACAATGACAAACACTCACATTTAACCCTTTGAGCACTAATGAGTTAATGAGAAAATATGTTGCTGTTTGTTCTCAAATTATGTTCTAGTGTGGAAATAAGCCTGAAAATAAACACACAGTAAATGCCAGCATATAACGCCATTAGGTTTCTGATGTGTGAATATGTGCTTGATCTTGTTCAGCTCTTCTGGATCTGATGTCATAAACCAGAAGAATGACAGTAGCCACGCCCACCAGAGCAGAGAGGACCAATCGGATCACAGCTTCAGTAGGACCACAGCAGTGGACAGAGTCTGAGGAATAAAAGCATCAAACTGAGATCAGATCAGTTCAGTTCATAAACGCTAATATCAGCGCTGACATCAACTAATATCAGCCGTACCTGAACATGTGTGACAGAGTTGAGAGATGTTGAGATGTTGAGTCTGGTTGCTGATGGGATTGTTCAGCACACAGATGTAGGTGTTTTTATCCTGATATTCCACATCCAGAGGCAGAGAGAGACTCATGTGGCGATAAAACACACTGCCGCTGGACAATAAACTGGTTCCTTTGTACCAGGAGAGAGTCACATGACCCACATTCACAGCTGAACACACCAATGAACATGAAGATGAAGATGAAGAACAGTCTCTGCTGATGACAGGAACAGGCAGACGAGCTGGAAAACATGACAGAAAAGATAAACAAGAACAAATCTAATCAACAATATTATTTTTGGTTGAGTCAGTTTATATGATCTTTAATCTCAAACTATAAAATGATCCAACAATTAATAAATACGAAAATAGTTAGTAAAAACAAGAATATCTGAAGGACAGGATTATCTATTAAATTATCCGTAAATAATCTCTACTCACCAGAGACAGAAACTCTGAATGCTTTTAATGAGAAACCGTATGAAAACATCATCCGTAGTTTATAATCTCCAGCATGTTCAGTTGTGATGTTTGTGATGGTCAGAGATCCAGTTTGATTGTTCAGCTTCAGTCTGTCTCTGAATCTCCCTAGATAATCATCATATACAGTGATTCTGTCGGCCTTTAAATTAATTTCAGATATTAGAATATTTTCATCTCCAAACATCCACCGAATCCAATCATAATCCTTTATTTCAGTGAGATCAGAGTTTACAGTGAGTGATTCTCCCTCATTCACTGATATTTCAACTGTATCAACAAACAGAAACAGAGTTTGTAGCAGATATATTGATATTTATATTTCAAATGAACAATATCATAAAACAAAAACAGAAAATTAACAAAATGGTGTTTGAATTAATATTGTTTAGTTTGAATAAAACATAAGATGGTAAAACAAATATTTAACCTACCAAAGACAGCGAGAAGGACATCACTGATCGAACCCTGCAGGAGTCCAGCATGTTCAGTTGTGATGTTTGTGATGGTCAGAGATCCAGTTTGATTGTTCAGCTTCAGTCTGTCTCTGAATCTCCCATCAAGAACATCATCATATACAGCGAATCTGTCGGACTGTTTATTGATTTCAGCGATTAAAGTGTTTTCATCTCCAAACCTCCACTCAATCGGTCTATCACCTTTTATTTCAGTGAGATCAGAGTTTAGAGTGAGTGATTCTCCCGCCTTCACTGACACGGATGTCACTGATGCTGATACCAAAAACACACACAGAACAAACACAAACAGGGTTACTGTGTAATGACTTAATAATGATTTACTAAATAGTTAAAAATGTCAGTTTGAAATAAACAATATCATAAAACAACAAAAATAAACAAAATGGTGTATGAATTACTAAAAAAAATGAATCAAATACAGAAAAAAAACGTGTTTAGCCTCACCATAGGAACCAATATTGATCTTTCTCTTTCTCACACCGTTGATCTGTAGAAAATAATCTCCAATCTCTTCAGTGATGTTTATGATGGTCAGAGATCCAGTTTGATTGTTCAGCTTCAGTCTGTCTCTGAATCTCCCATCAAGAACATCATCATATACAGCGATTCTGTCGGCCCGTTTATTGATTTCAGCGATTAAAGTGTTTTCATATTTCCACTGAATCACATCATCATCCTTTATTTCAGTGAGATCAGAGTTTAGAGGGAATGAATCTCCCTTCATCATAAGCTTCACTTCATCATCACCAAACACACCTGAAGAACAGAGTTTTTCACAGATTAAAGCTTTAAAATCACTTGATGTTGGTTTGAAGCTTCACTGAAATTCTTTTAAACTTTAAAATGTGTGTGGGAAATGCCATTGAATTATTATTTTTGTTTGGATCTTCCTTGCCTGGAACTGTTTTAAACTGTGGATTATATACAAACTTTCCATGGATTATTCACTCATTATGTAATTATGCTGGTTGCCGGTTTTGGAGCGCTTGGGACAAATTTATTAGCAAAGGCCAAACAACGCTGGAACTTGTATCATGTAATTCACCGACTGCTCTGAGTGAACATTCATATTGTAGATAGGGGTTAAATCATTCGTTTGTATGATGCACTGTTTTAATCATAATCTACATCTTGTGGTTATTCGTGCATTATTGACTGAGAGTGAAATTGTTTTTCAATTTTGATGTAATCTACTTTACAAGTTCATCAGAAAGCCCACGATAGTATTTCATTACAAGGTCAAGAACTTAAAACATCTTAATGGTAAAAAAGAAACAACTGAAGCCATAAAAGCCGATTTAAAACTCACCATCCAGATGCCAGAAACACAGACAGAAGAAAACTGTGCGAAACATCTTCAACACTTTTAGTCCACAAATATGAAAAGACAAACTCTTCAAAACTGCTTCAGGAATAAAATGACAGATGAGCTGATGTGAAGCTGCTCTGTAGAAAAATGAAGTGAAACTCCACCAACATTTAAAATAACTGCACATCTATACGTGTTAATGCATGTGAACATCTAGCTCTTTGTTAGCTCATCAATTCACGCTCTGAGTCTGAACTTTGTCACTTTGAGTTCAACTTCACCTCAAGTACACCTCAACTTCCTCTAGATCAATGACATCATTTTCCACAGAAATGAACTGACCCATAACCTGTTAAAAGTGTCTAAAAGCAACAGTTTGATCAAGCTGTGGTCGAGGCCAGAGAAACAGAAGTTTAAGAGCCTTAAAACAGAAGTTAACTTAAGCTGGAACCCTTGCTTACTTTGACAAGAAAGCATCAACTAAAGTCATTGCACACGCAAGCATTATTGATTCAAGAACCGAGTGGATGACTTGTATGTAATGTTACTGTATGGAAGCATCAGCACAGAGAGTGAATTATAGGGGTGGGAATCTTTGGTCACCTCACGATCCGATCTGATTCCGATTCTGGGAGTCACGATCCGATTCCAGAACGATTCTTTATCTACCTTTCCCCCCTTATTAATTCATTAGTTTACATAGGCTAAGTAATTAAGTACTTTTTAAAAAATAATTACAAATTTTTTTTTTATTATTAAAACAGTTGTATGTTAAGAATTTTTATCTAATATAACCAATGAGAAGCATAGAAAAATATAACAAACAACAAAGAAAAAGTGCTTTCAGTAGCCTATTGAACGTTTTCCATTCAAGAACTGTGAGTGATTTTTCTTCATCTTTACTGTTGTTTTTTACTATGACATCATAGACTGCGGGAGATCTATTAAGCTGCATTCACGCACGCATCTCTTTTGAAATAAAAGAAGTAATGCGGTGTGTCCTGTCCGTTTAATCCCTTAGACATAACTGGCTGTGTTTACGTTAATTTTGCACAAGTAGCCTACATTAAACCACTACACGGAGTCGCACAGCCGCATGCGCGAGCAGTCTCTCAAACAAAGCGCGCGTCAGCATTTGAAATTGAAAGCAGCCTTCTGGTTCATATTTTAAATACCCAGCAAGCAATAGCCGTCATTTCAACGTCTCGGTTAAATATGGACCCGATATAGTCCGGCTATGTGTAACCCACTTTTAGCCCAAATAACATTTAATCTGGATAATTTTTTTTTTTTTTCAAAATAACTTGTGAGATGTATGACATTCCATCATGTAAGCAAAGTCAACTGTGATTACAAGGTGTTTGTTTTGCTTTATTTTACATGTTATATATGTAGGCTGTGCGTAGCCACGATTTAGCTCGTATTCAGACCCGGCTATTGTAGCCCACTTTTAGTCAAAACTGAGTAATTGTAGTTTTTTGCCAGGCAGTGCATTAAATTGTTGATATTCCATCATGTTCGCATTTGTAATGATATCTGCAAGGTTCAATGTGTCATTTCACGACATGGTCGATCTGCAGTCACGATTCAGCTCTGAATTGGACGGGCTATATGCGGTCTTTTAGCCCACCTGGCGAAATCAAAGCAATCTGGTCTACGTACGGCTTGGCTATATAGCCATGATTCATACCAGCGAAATAGTATAAGAATATTAGTCTTAAAAATGTTTTTGCTCACACAGCTTAATGTTTGCTGCCTGTCACACATAAACATAACATTCATACACAATCTACGAAATGACTGTCTATCATTTCAAATTAAATCAAATGCAATTGCATTTCTCAACCGCTAGATGGCACAATCGAAACACTACTGAGACATGACTACTGGGACTACTGGCGGCATAGGCCTATTTCACAAAAATGGCCGCCGAGACCGGAAGTAGGGTAAACTATTTTCCGGTGAAAGCCATAGACAGGGTGAAAGCGCTAGCAGTTACAGTCGGAGGACAAATGCGGAGATTAAAAGCGGTTGCTTACCTTTTTATGTTTCAACCCAAAGAAGAAACAACCCTATTGATCACTTCACAGCTTTTCGTGTTTTGCGGGTTTTCATGGAACAATCGGGGAGAAGTTAAATCACGCCAGACGCGTGTGAAGAAGGAAGCAGATGTTGAAATGGAGTGTTGATGCCGGTTCGGGACTGATGCCCTCCACAAAACATGTTTAAATTGCACTTGATTGTTATCCGATTTGCACGTCATGCACTTTTATTTATTATTATTAACTGTTGGCAAATTAAAATTGTTTGTAGAAGTTGTTTTCTGTAACTTTCTTTCCCTTTTACCTGGGTGCGCTTTGCCAGGCCTGCTGTTTACTTGTGCAAGCAAGGGCAGCTGGGACATTTATTAAACGTATAAAATACTTTCCAAACCGTTACATATAGTCTTATAAATTCAGACGTTTGTGATATAAAAAAATAAACATATTGGAATAATTTTTAAAGTTGTTTGAACACGGAGCAGTTTTTCCCGTGAGTGGGACTGGAAAACCCGGAGTGGATCAGGAGCGGAGTGATAATAGAACGCTTCTGTGCAGAGAGGAACGGGCTTTTGCTCCAGTCCAGGCTTTGATCACATCTCCCTAAGCGGGTGATCACCTCGTCCTTCCGACCCATTCGAACTAAAATCAAGACATTTATTACACTATTTGAGAGATAAGCATACTTACGGCCTTAAAATAATGAAAAGGGTAATTTAAGAAACAGGGGGAACCTGATATTAACGGAAGTCCGTCGTAGCGACGGATAACTTTAATCCCTGTATATATTATTTAGTGTATTGAAAATAAAATTACATTATATATTAGTAAATATATACTCACATTTTTAAATATATGAAAATGACTTGTTTCTTTGTAAAAAGTGACTTGACATGTTTCATTCAATATATTGTAATATATTAACACCACATATTATTCTGTATGTTTTCAAATATACCGTACTGTTAAACCATTTCATATATTGATAATTCATATATAGGGAATATTTTCTTTTCATAAGGGGACCCCAGACAGTTAAATATTATTTTGTAACATGATTTTTTTAAAAAAAAAATGTAATATCAATCACTTCATTCATGTTTTTAGTCTAACTATTTTTGTAATTTCATTATTAGACATAGCAACGTGAGATCAAATTCACTGTAAAGATGTACAATTCTTAGTTTCATTCATGGTAACATGAAAAAGGAGCCATAATCTATTCTAGTGGAAGATTACTGCAATCTCCTGGACTAACACTTAATAACATGATTTTTTTTTTAACAAAAGCCACTAGATTTCACTCATAGCCTACAATCAGACATCATTTCAATTTATTTATTTATTGTTTTTCGATATATTAACGTTAAATGTGAGCTTAGTCATCAAGTGTCATGCCATTTAAATGAATGGAACTTTTTTTTATGTGAGCACTAAGCAAACGTCAAGAATTTGTCCAATTTCGATCTTTTCACAACTCCCTGAAAACTATCAACAAAACGGACAACATCTGATATTCTTACTTTTGTCAGATAACGTTATATGAATGACTGAGAGAGAAAACAAGCTGTTCAAAGTCCATTTTGAAAATGAATGGCGATCGTAGCGGGCGGCAGCGCGACCAGAAGTCTTTTTGCCGTCTGTGTCTGGCGTGATTTAACCTCTCCCCAGTTGTTCCATGAAAACCCGTAAAACACGGAAAGCTGTGAAGTGATAAATAGGGTTGTTTCTTCTTTGGGTTGACATAAACACCATAAAAAGGTAAGCAACAGGACTAAACCGCTTACAGTTTCCGCATTTGTCCTTCGACTGTAACTGCTTGGGCTTTCACCGGAAACGAGTTTACCCTACTTCCGGTCTCGGGGGCCATTTTGTGAAATAGGCCTATTGCGCGACTAGATCACTTTAACCAGATCTCGCGATAAACATTTCTGCCATTTTCAATGTTATTTTACACGAGGCAGCTGTCGGAGAGCAACGGGTGAGCGACACTCTGAAAACCTTCAAATGTGTACTTCGATCTTGTAAGTATGCGTGTTATTTTTGTTATGTTCATTGTTTAAATAAGTTAGTTGTTATAATGTGTAGAAACCGTGACATTTTAACATTACCATTGCAGAGTGGGCTACTATTTTTCTGCAACAAGTTAACGTTACCTGCACGTGTTATTGCAACTGTGTGCCCTTAATCTAAAATGAATCTAAATTCAAGGTGGTAAGCATGAAACTTATCATTACTATTTTATTTGTATTATTATTAAAGATACCAATATATTTTTGTTTTTAGATTAGAGTAAGAAATAATAAGTTTTGATTTAATGCAAATTTTCAAAGTATACTTTACATAAAACTTAACAGCAACATGAAAAGAAATTATAAAAAAATATTTTTTCCTTTCCAATTAATAAAAGGTAGTGGCAAACAGTAAAGTCTTTAAACTTGATTTAAAAGAATTAAAATATGCAGCATACATTCAGTTTTCAGTGAATTTGTTTCAGATATATGGTGCATAAAAACTGAATGCTGCTTCTCCATGTTTTGTTTTGACTTTGGGGATATAAAAGTTGCTGGCTACTGTCCCAGGTGACCTGAGAGGTCAGCTCTGGATGGTCCATAATGCATCAGAAGATTAGAAATTTACTTTGGCCTTAATTTAATTATTGATATTAATTTATTAAAAATATTGATATAAATTGTCTATATTGATATAAATTATATAGTCTCAATCTATATTCCATTAACTCTATACTGCCCAGCTCTAGTGTGCATCCTAGCAAAAGTGAATGACTGTAATTAGTTAAAAATGATCGTCAACAATGCTTTTCTTGAGCAATAATTTTTTTCTTTTTCTCATTTGGCAGACGCAGTGATGACCAACTTTCCTTCGGCGACTGAATGGGAAATAAAAAATGCAATTTCTGGTCATTTTAAACAAGCACCAGGGAGAGCAGGGGGTGGTGGTTATGGATATAAAGCTAACAATTAATTCTTAATTTTAGTATCTTAAGTTGTTTTACATATTTTCTTATTTTTTTATTTGTTCATTTTTATGTTTGAATGTTGTCTAAGTTGTTAATATAATTGTTCTAAATAAATCCTTTATATTTAATTAGTTTGGATGGATT